AAAATACTCTGTTTCAACAGAATAACCATCTATCAAATAGTTTTATTTTATTGGTGAGTATATAGAATAGTTCCAATCAAAGGCTATTTTCAAAAAATAACTCATCTTGAATGATAAATTTTAAAACTTAATATTTAAATGTTTTAAAATAATAGAAGCAACCTAGTAGGACTCACATATCCTCACATCTTGTATGATTAAGTATGGTGAATGATAGATTAGCCAGGAGCATTATATACTCCATTGAATAATTGCTCAATTAAATGCCAAATAGATGAGGATAAATTAGCCATAATAGTTTTCTGTTTTAATGTTGCCAAAAATAACCAATGATGAATAAATTCCTTTAAAAAGTTGGAAGTTCTAATGGGGAGGGATGATCATAAGAGATAATGGTGATGATTCATTGGTGATTAGGTGATGGACATTTTATGGGGATTAAACCTGAGGGGAGAAATCGAACACTGTGCAAACATGAACAACGTTGTAAAATAAATATATGAAAAAAGAATAACCATCTATTTGAAAAAGGAATTTTAAAAATCCCATTTACAATAGCATCAAAAATAATGTATCAAATAGGAATAAATTTTAATCAAAGAGGTAAAATTTCTGTACACTGAAAATGAGTTATCAACAAATTATATTGAAGAAACTCAAACAAGTAGTAAATACTCTACATGCAGTAATCAGAAGACAGTATTGTTAAGCAGTCCATGCTAACCAAAACCATCTATAAAATAACTATAATTCTTATGGAAATTCCAATTCCATTTTTCACAGAATTCATGGAAAATCTGTCCTCATATTTGTATTTGATCACAAAATACTTTAAAAGCAACCAAATCCTGGAAAGAATAACAGAGTCAGCATCACACTTCCTGATTTTAAATTGTAATATTAAGTTATAGTAGTCAAAGCAGCATTGTACTAGTATGAAAATAGAAACACAGAGATCAAAGGGTAGACTTCAATAACTGGTACTGAGAAAACTGAATAACCACATGCATATGAATTAAAGAGAGCCCTTATATAACAATATTCACAAAAATAACTTGAAATGAATCAAGAAACTATGTGTACTAACCAAAGCTGAAAAGTTGTTTGTTTGTTTTTTTTTCTTTGCTAAAAATAGAAAAAAGGAGGAAAGTCCTTAATGTTTGCTTTGGCAAGATTTCTTTTAATATGATGTTGACAACACCAGCAGCAAAATCACAGTAAACAAATAGAAGGACATCAAACTAAAAAATGTTCTGCACAACAAAATAAACTTTAAACAAAAATGAAAAAAAAATCTATGGATTGAGAGGAAGTACTCATTAACCATACATCTGACATAGTTAATATAAAAATTACATAAAAATTTACATAAATCATAGCAAAAAAGAAATAATTTGATGTAAAAGTGGGCAAAGGATGTGAATAGACACTTTTCCAAAGGCAACATATAAATGGCCAACAGGTAGTGAGAAGGTACTCAGTATTACTAATTATGTGGTAAATGCAAATCAAAACCATATATAGAAAAAAGTATGAAGCTTCCTCCAAACATATAAATACCATATAATCCAGTAATCACTCTTCTACATATGTATATGGATGAAATGAACTGCAGTGGTGATACTGAGGTGGGAGGATCCTATATTTTCAAAATACCAACAACAATAAAGTAAGCCAATGTTACATCAATTAAAAAATCAATTAAAATATAAGAAATAATAGAAAGTACCATTATGTCAAAGAGATATCTGTACCCAATGCTCATTGCATGATTCATAATGACCAAAATCTAAAAGCAACCTAAGTGCCCAACAATGGTTAAAAGGATAAACAAAATGTGGTATATATGCACAGTGAAATATTATTCAGTCATACAAAAGAAGGACATACACTACCACTTACAACAATGAAGATGAACCATAAGGATATTATGGTATAGAAATGTCAAACAGAGAAAGACAAGTACTGCATAAGCTTCCTTTTCTAAAACATAGAGCGTATAGAAACAGAGAGTATTGATGGTTACCAGGTTCTTGGGTGTGGGGGTAAATGAGGTGATATTTGTCAAAAGTTACAATTTTTTTCAGTTATAAGGTGAATAAATTCTAATAATCTAATATACATCCTGGTGACTATAATTAACAATACTGTATTATAGACTTGAAATTTGCTGAAAGAGTAGATCTTAAGTGTTCTTAAAACAAAAAGAAAGTAACTATGTGAAGCAATGGATGTGTTAACTGTAATTAGTGTGGTAATCATTTCACAATATGTATGTATATCAAATCATCACATTGTACACATTAAGCTTACACAATGCTATTTGTCAGTTACACCCCAGTAAAGCAGAACAGTGAAAATGGTGAAGGTTGAAAGTTTCAGGATCCATATTTTCAAACTTATAGGCTCCACATTAAATCTAATGAACCCAATATGTATTTTCTACCAGGTGTTAGTTTGTACCTTGTGAAGTACTTCACTACTATTTCAGTCATTCTAGAGCCAAGTTAACTGCTATTGAGAAAAAGAAAAAGCATACTATTTTTCTGATTCATCACACCAAATTTTAGTTTGTCATTGTTCACTGTCATATTTGAAGTATACAGAAAAGTCACACAGTGGACATTGAACAAATATTTACAGATTGACTGAAACTGCTTATGTTAATTCTTGAAATAATACTTTTATTATTTCAAGAATTAACATAATAATACTTTTATTATTTCAAGAATATGAGGAATTTTAATATAGAATTTAATATTAGATCAGGTAAAATGTTCACACTGTGCTAGGCTATTGTGGGAGAAAGATTTGAAGACAATAACTTTTTGTTTCCTTAGAATTCTGTTGGAAGGTCACTATCTCTCTTTCTCTGTATACATGAAAAACTGGCCTGCATTTTTATAGAAGAAATCTCAAAATATAAAATTCTGAGAAAAATATCAATATAAGAAAATTCTATCTTGACATCAAAATCTAACTTGAGGTCTTAATTTTTTGTTAATCAAAGAAATTTTCTATGAAATTATTGAAATAGACTGGATTTTCTAATAGTTTTTTAGTCTTGAGTCCATTTTATACAAAAATAAAATTCTAAATATTTATTTCATTTTATAGAGGCTGGTAGAAAGTTAGAAGCTAGTTAGTATATATACACTGGGGAATTTCTATAGCATTTTTTTTTTTTGCTAAGAAATATCCATTGGGATTCATTATCTATATGAAGAAAATGTTTCACAACTTTGTGAGAACCCTTCCTTAACAATTATTTTAGCATAAAATAGGTTTACACCTTCAAACATTGGGGATACTTCAAATCAAATAAGCAAAGTGATAACCTGTGCTATAATGTAAAGTCACTGGATACAGAGGTAATTTTCAGTTCTTGTTTCCAATTAATATTTAATTGTAATGGAAAGAAAAGGTTAATGTATATTTTTGCAAGAAAATGAAATTCTACTATTGAACATCAACAGTGATTCAAGGTAGGTATTGTATTAATATATGAGAGGAAGTGATGGCTTAGCTTGATTGACTTTATATTTTTACACAAATTATGTATTTTGGGACCTTGATGTAAAATATCTTTATGCTCAAAAAAGGCAAGGGTAAATTGACACTTTTGATAACAATGAGTATCATTATAACCTAAAATATTGAAGCATGCTTCTTTTGGAAACATAATATAGAAATAAGATATGCATTTGTGGGCATTTCCATTAACTAAAATATATGTGAATTAACATAAAAATGTTAATATTATTAACATCAGAATAAAGTCAAGTGATGTGAGTAATTTGGGGAAATTACAAGATAGAAGTGCAATTCTTTATAAGACATTGGGGGGGATATGAACACTTTCAATATTTGGACACAACCTAAAGAAGACTAATTATCAGGTATAAACATAGTCAAACTGGGCAATCTACTCAATGAAAATCACTAGGCCAACATTAAGCATAACACTTAATAAAGTGTAATCACACATATTGAGTTAGTCTATCCTCAGCATAACTAGGTAAATGAGGGAGGTTCCAAATCTTTAAGCAACACATAAAGGGTATATGTGTTAATTTTGACAATAGAATTTACCCAGGATTATTGTTTTCTTTTTTTTTTTTCCCACTAGACCAATATTTTTCAAATTTTTTACCATTATCTATATTGAGATATGCATATTACATCATAACTCAGGTCACACATATACACATATACTCATCCTTGTAATGGAAACAAATATAATAAATCAACAAAATAGAATATAATTGTCAAATGAGTACAAATCCAAGCGTGATAAACACTAACATACATCATACTGTACTTTTTAAGCACTGGTGTCTTAAATGATCTGTATCAACTGGTTGTACAACCAATTATTGTCTTGTTTTTCAAATATTGATCATGTTTAAGGAATATTTCCTTTTGGGTGCATGTTTCCTTTTTGACAAATGTTTTGTTTTGGCAAAAATCATTTTAGGATTTGAAGCTTAGACTTACAAATAGGAATATGTCTTGTTTCCTTTCCCATCAGACCAATCTCACTGGAGCACAATGATTTCTGAACTTACTTAAGTCAACTCATGTTCATCCAGAGCATGGCCAAGGTGAACAGACTATAGATAAAGAATTGTACACATAAGGTAAGTCAGTACATGTGGTCCTTCAGATATAGTCTTTCATTTCGTTATTTTTCTAACATTAAGAGGAATTTTAGATTTCCCTTTTCCTAATAATTTCCTATAAAAATACTGTATTACATTTCTTGGATAAAAATAGACATATTTGCTAGTCTTTCTTTTAGATGCACAGCAAATAATAATTTTGCATTTGGACTCACTGTTTTATTTTTCATGTATCAAATCACTTTCCTGGAGTTACATCGCAGAGAAAAAACCTTCATAATACTCTTTATATAAAAGAATTAATTGACCACAAGAAAAGACAATATGGAAATATGTCTTCACGTTGACTTGAATTCACCAACAAAAGCAGCAACAGTCATGAACCCAAGCAACGCAAGTATCCCAAAGATTTTCATTCTTTTGGGTTTCTCTGACCATCCCTGGCTAGAAATGCCACTCTTCATAATGGTGCTGATTTTTTACATTTGCACTCTTGTGGGGAACATTTTAATTATTGTGGTATCCAGGATAGATCCTCAGCTTGACAGCCCTATGTACTTCTTCCTTTCCAACCTCTCTTTTCTGGACCTGTGCTTTACAGCAACTACCATCCCTCAACTGCTGTTGAACCTATGGGGCCCAGATAAGTCTATCAGCTATGGAGGTTGTGTGACCCAGTTTTACATGTTTCACTTCCTGGGGGCCACTGAATGCATCCTCTTAGCTGTGATGTCCTTGGATCGTTACATGGCCATCTGCAAGCCCTTGAGGTACTCAGCCATCATGCATCAGCGACTCTGTTTGCTCCTAGTGGCCTTGGCATGGCTAAGTGGTTTGATTAACTCCTTGCTCCAGTCATCTCTCACAGTCCAGCTGCCACTTTGTGGTAATAACAAGGTAGATGATTTCCTATGTGAGGTTCCCGTGATGATCAAGATGTCATGTGTCGATACCACATTCAATGTAGCTATGCTCTCCATTGTGGGGGCGTTCTATTCCCTGGTGCCCTTGTCATTTATCCTTGTCTCCTATGGGTTCATTGTAGCTACCGTGCTCAAGATTAAGTCCTCAGAGGGAAAGAAGAAGGCCTTTAACACATGTGGTTCTCATGTTATTGTTGTATCTCTCTTCTATGGGCCAGTGATTATTATGTATGTGCAACCTTCTGCAGCTAATTCCCAAGACAAAAACAAACTAATGTCCCTGTTTTACAGTTTGGTGACTCCTATGCTTAATCCTTTTATATATACTTTGAGGAATAAGGACATGAAAGGGGCAATGAAAAGACTTCTCATTTCACTGTACCGTCATGGACGAGAATAAACATAGCTATTTTTATGTTCCCCACTCTCCATATGTGACTCAGAAGAGCCCCTTCTCTAAAATCAGTGCTTGATTTAGTGTTCTCCAAAATTGTTAGCATACTTACTTATATGCATATATGTTTATTTACCACAATGCTGTTGTATGTTCACATATCACTTCAAAGTGTGAATCCTAATTGTCAATTTGTCTGCAACTTGCATGAGAGTGAAGATCATGTTATTAAATTCCTCTGTAGCTATCCACAGTTTCTACTGTAGGAGTCTAGAAGGTGGTCAGTAAAGACATAGTTATTGACTGATTCATTAATCTTTGAACAAAATAAGTTAAACCATATTTTGAAAAATATATTTATGTAATATAGACCTCAATTTATCTTCTTGCTTATATGCATAGAATTTAAAGGTTAATCTTTCATAATTATTTTAATGAATTACTACAAGGTCCATACTGGCTAATATGTTCTATAAACATTGTATAAATTCACTGTGTGATTCTTTATAAATAAGGTAATTTAAAAATTATATCTGACTTTCATATATGTCTCAATGGATTTCTACATTATGAGATATTTGACTGAAGAAATTATTTCTGTCTAGGAAAAGCTGATGATTCAAATTCTGAGAAACGTCTATGAAGCCTCCTAATACAATTCACTTAGCATTCATTGGGAAAATGGTTTACATAGCATGAGAAAATTAGGTGTTATGGGTAAGTAGTTAAGGATAAAATAGTTCAATCACCTCAAAATCAGAGTATTAGATGATAAGCAGAAAAATTAGAGGGAGAAATTGGAAGATCAGATGGAAGAAATATAAAGAAAATTACTCTCACATAATCAATTTTGAGACACAGGTGATGAAGCAGAAAATTCAATGTTGATGTGGAATGTGATAAGGTATTGATTTTATTCATAGTATCACCTCATCAACATTACATTTTCTCATAATTTTCTATTCCTCATGCTTATAAAAATCTCATCATTTAACTTGTGTTTAAGTTAAATATTTAATTATTTTTCTATCAAATAAATATATTAATGTAAATATCTTTATATATCTGCCCATCCCTAATATCATAGTGTAATTTCACTATTTACTACCACATTGCAAGGATAAAATCTGTTGACTCAGATTGTATGAATCTCTAACACAGAGATATATCCATTATAATCAATAAATTGATTAATTGTATACATTAATTTCCTCTTCCATTTATGTTCTATTCACTGCAAAACTATCTTTTGTCTGACAATTTTACTCTTGTTAGGTATAGGAAATATAATTCAATTGGAGACAAGTTGATTACCTGGCACGGCCATTTTTCTGTCAAGAACTAGGCCTCTTGATTTTACTATGTACCCCATCACTCCTTCAGACCTGAAAGTTTATATTTTTTTAAATGATCACTTTTTACTCCAAAAAGTAATGAGGTCCTTTTTTTGTCAGTAAATTATCACCCTAATAATTTCTATAGAAGTTATTTTAATATATATGCTTTTAATGAATGAATGAAAAATACTGCATACCGTCCTATTACCTATTTTAAAAATATGTATCACACAAGATTATGTCATGTACTAAATGATGAGATTAATAAATGAGAGTAGTAGCTGTTTTTTTTTTCCAAGATTTATTTTATTTATTTATGCATACAGAACTGGGTGTAGGCCAAAGATTGGGGAGTGGGGGTGGGTGAGAGCATTCACCAGAGACAGAGCAGGGAGCAGAACGGCAGATCTACTGAAATACACTGCTGAGGGGAGCAGGCAATGAGACAGGAGAGGTCTGCTGGTCATGTGGGTCACCTCCCTGGTGGAGGATCATCATGCCTCAGAGGCTGACTGTAGCTTGATAGCACTGAGACTTTAACACCTGCACCACTAGGGAGGCCCAGTAGCTGGTTTTAAAGCAACGTTTCTTACTCCAACTTCTAGTACTGCTCCAGGAGATCTTAACAGCAGTTAAAAGAAATAAATAATTCATGTTCAACAATTTGGGGGATAACCATTTATGACTGGAGTTTGGGAAAGAAAATTAACGTATGCTTGATATTCCAAAGTGAACCAGTAAACTATGTTTAACACATCTATTCTGCTTCCATAGCTTTCTTGAGAATATTTTTATCTCATCAACTGATAGTTTTGTATCTTGCAAGTCCTGAATTTTCTTATTAAATCTTCAATTTCTATTCTTTCCATTAATTTTATTTCGCATATATATCTTTAATTAGTTTTTCGGATCTATTTGACTTGCTTTTTCATTTTCTTCCATTTATTTTAATTTCTTTCATGGTGATTCTGAACACTATTTAATAGGAAGATAATATTTTCTTTCTTTTTTTTTAAATTTATTTTCATATATTTATGCATACAAGAACTGGAGTCTAGGCCAGAGATGTGGGTGGTGAAAGGATTCACCAGAGACAGAGTGGGGTGCAGAACAGGCGGATCTACTGAAATACACTGCTGAGGGGAACAGCAGGAGAGACAGGAGAGGGCTCCTGCTCCATGTGTGTTAGGTCCCTGGCCAGGGATTGAACTTGTGCTGTTATGGCTGCTGCTAGCTTGATAGTGCTAATACTTAACCCCTTGAGCCACCAAGGAGGCCTGGAAGACAACATTTTCTGTCTTTGTGATTGTATTCTGGAGAATTGCTCTCTCTTTGTGATGATATATTGTCTTGATGTGTCAAGGTGCCATATGTTGCATTTTTCCTTCCTATTTTGCTGCGATAGTTCCTGCCATTTTTTTATATTATCCACAATAATTTACCAGAGATTTGCACTAGTTTTCCAGCTCATGACAATGTAGGTTTCTTTTCTTTTACATTTTGCATTACCTATAGGTTTGAAAACCTAATAATGTCGGTGCTGAGTCAGGGGGTGGGAAAAGCAGCTAGAGGGATCACTGGCCATTATACTCTCCCTGTTTTTTTTAACTGGGGACCCAAACTGTTGGGAATACCCAGATCCTCTGGATGTGTTTCCCTTTAGTCATGGATTTGTGTCTCTACACCCCTCATCTCTCTCATCTCTACGGGTAGAGATGAGTGACAGTGCTGCATTTTTTACAGTAGCCTCACTGCCCCAGACCACAACCTCCAGGTGTTTCTCTCCACCCACCAATTGTTTGATGAAACATGAATTCCCTAGTTTTTTTTTTTTTTTTTTTTCTGTTGCAATTGGTGCTGGTCCTGATGTCCAAGAGGTATTCCAGTTTCACTAAGTCACAAAGCCCTCTGTATGTGTGTGTGATGTTCTCAAGTTTTCCAGTTATCTGGTCCAGTTTCTTAGAGTACTGATATTCACACTTTATACATATCAGAGTTACTATTCAGTTTAAAAAATTTCAAAATTGATTCTACTGTTGGGCCTCCCTGGTGGCGCAGCGGTTGAGTGCTGGGTTGCGAAGCTGCCTGCAGCCTCTGCAACGCCGGTTGGATCCCTGGCTGCTCCCCAGCTACCAGAGGAGGGTCCCACATGGCACGCAGACCTCTCCTGCCGCCCGCTGCTCCCCTCTGCAGTGTATTTTGGTCCTTCTGCCTGTTCTGCTCCCCGCTCTGGCTCTGGTGAATTCTCTCACCCTCCCCGCGCTTCTGACTGTACCCTCCTTGTATAAATAAATACATAAATTAAAAAAAAAAATTGATTCTACTGCAGACTCCCAAAACAGAATTTTAGGGAATTATTTCCATAAAGTATTCTGTTAACATTTAAACAGTTAATATTAATATGCCCCCAGAGTTAGTGAAGGTCATCATATGGAACATAATTTGAAATATTCAACAGGAACTTAAGGCAGGCAAGATCTGACTAATGAGAAAAAGTGTAGTCAGACCAAGAATAGGAAATAATTCTTTCCAAGGGTGTGAAGATTTCTAGATGGAGCAAGCTTAAAAAAACGAGATATAAACCTGTAAACTGAAAAAACAAAAATTATAACTAGCAAGTCAAGGCAAATCCAACAAGATCAAGTTGAAGAGTTATATTTTTTTCTTGGATATAAATGTTTGTGAAAGTCAGATTCATACTTATTCAAACAATAAGTAGGTAAATTCCCTTTTATGTGTGATAAAATTAAAAGAAGATGTTTTTCTTTTTAAAGATTTATTTATTTATTCTTACAAGAGCTGGGGTACAGGCCAGAGGTGTGGAGGGTGAGAGTATTCACCAGAGACAGAGTGGGGACAGAACAGACAGAGTGACTGAAATACACTGCTGAGGGGAGCAGTGGGTGAGTCAGGAGAGGTCTGCTGCGCCATGTGGGTAACTCCCTGGCTGGATATCAAACTCGTGCTGCAGTGGCTGCAGATAGCTTCATAGGTTGTGTCTTAACCCCTTGTGCCACCAGCGAGGCCCTAAGAAAATATTTTCTAAAGCTAAAATATACTATAAAGTGAGAAATGAAAAATTACAGTTCATGACTGAACTATAATTTGGGGTAAATGAGTATGATAAATAATATTTGTCTCAAAGACAAATAGAAAATAGTAAACACAATCAGAACTCAAGTAAAACCCAATTACACGTTTCAGAATGTCAACTACTTCACTGAATTGACACACCTTTTGTTCTCCCTGTGGTGAGTTATTGATCAATGTTGAAGTGTTGGAATGGGGAAAGAGAGGGGAGTTGTGGTCTTGGTAACAACTATTCTTGGAGAAGGGAAAGGGCATATGTTTTGTTTTACCCAATTTGGCACAGAAGACCTCCATTGTGAGTGTGAAATAGTGTGCTACTTACTTACTGACTGCAAGGCTGTATAGTTATGGAGAGTCTTAATGGTAGCATGTGCAATGTACTCCCATCCCCTCAACCATCAGGTAATGAGTGTTTATAAGACTGGGGAGAAACATGCTACAAACTATGAAAACCTGTGCTACTGAGGTGGAGTCTTGAAAAATAGGCTCCAGGCATGGATTTTTGTTTTTTCTGGCTCCAGAGAGAAGTGATAAAGTAAGCTTCTGAACTGAGTTGTCCTTTTCCCCTTCCAGACTGTG